TCTTTACAACAGTACGAATGAATGTAATAAATTTATTACGTTCGTTCACTCAATTTTTGGTTTAAATTAGCGCTGAATTTTCTTGAGGAGGACGTTCATTATTCGTTCAGAGAGTGTAAAGAATTAAAATTTCAGATTTGTTAATGTTCTGTTTTATGAAGCGGTGATTCTGAGAAAGGGGATTTATTGCGCTGACTTAGAAACATCACCACCGACAGAAAAAAAAAGTGAAAGAAAGACATTTTGAGCGAAAAAAAAAAGGCAAAATGACTTGATAAAAAGCATCCATCAGTACGTATGATTATTAAATTTTCGCATCTGCTGTGAAAGAAGAATCGTAAAGATACTTTAAAGCGTTGTGGATTTGTTGATGAACTTATTCAGCCAGATCACCAATGAAGTGTTATTTACTCAACGCTGGAATACCATCTTAAATGTGAACTTCATAATTCTTCAGAGTAGTTGCTTGAAACGTTATTATTTTCAATCGATTTTATTCACGTACCTCAATAATTTTCCACTTCACTAAGTTTTTATATTATCCCATGTTAAGAAATTTGGAAAATTATGTAAAAGAGTGAAATTATTCTGTATTATCCGGGAGTTCCATTAGATTTCAGATCGACTAGAGGCAATGAAAAATAGGTAATGTTTCGATAATCTTTACAATCACTGAATTTTGAGAGCCTCGTTAATCTGCTTCATTTGAAGTGTGCTGTCATAATGTTCTGCTTCGTTCCCAAACATCCGAATTACTTTTTGGGTTAAATGAATCAGCACTGTGCTGCATCAATTTTACTATTTTGAGAAAGCGATTCTATAATACAATGAACGATTAGAAACATTCAAAGATTACCTTAATATAATCTTTACGACGCAGTCAAAGGCTTAAGGGTTTATCTACTGACTATGAGACCGGAAACAGTTGAAGTGGATTAAATGGGATATTTGAGGGATATAAATAAGTTGTTCGCAGGCATAGATCGATGGTTTTTGGGAAATTAAGAGATGCACTTTAATCAATTCGGATGTCAATTAATCACACCGAAGACGATTGATTCGCTATGGTTTTTAGATAATGGTTGTGATAATTGACTTGTGTATGCAAAAAGCAAACGCATAATGCAATCATTTTAAGTTGATCGTAACTAGAAATTCACACCGGTGATCTGTTAAGAATGTCACACATCTTGTAAAAACTATCGACGTCAATGAGCTCTTTTTCATGATTTCACATAATTTGATAAGTTGTTCATGGATCCGATAGTTTTGAAAGCGTTTATTTTATGATTCATTCGAATTTCATTGTTGTTCAAACATTGTTAATCCTAACAGAAACACCTCAGTCGAGAAATATTCCATTGGTCTGCGACAATTGAATGCAGAGCATAAGTTTCATTTTCAATAACATTCGTTCATAGTACCTTGAGTGAATGCAATGGCATCATTAAACACTGGTCATATGAATGAATAAATAATGTATTGTTGTTTGCTTATTGCTTTCATTGCTCAACAAAATCTGAGTGTAAAGCTCAAGTCGAATCACTTGATTGATTAAAGAAACTTCAATAAATTCCGGATTAAAGTGAAGTGTGGCTCAGTTAAAGCAGCAAATGAATGATGGGATACTAATTACATCGCTACACTCGAGTGGCTGCGTTCAGCCTTTAACCGCTGACCAAAAACCAACCCCACCGATCGCGATAATCGCTCAACATACATTCTGTTCCCAGCCAAAAATTTTTTCGATAATTATCTGCCATCATCGTCATCAGTCTGCAAATAGAAACGAACGTTTGAAATGCGAGGTAGTACCATGAAAGC